GCAACTAGCATCCTCCTGACTAAGATCAGCAGGGGTCTGAAAGGCATGTTCAGACCCATTTTGATTAGAAAGCTCTAATTTTGACTAGTTCCTTTTTATTATGAGTTAATACAGTGTAGCAGTTTAAAAACATGACCTCAGATAGACTAATAAGAAGACCACAAGGCATCACTTTCATGGACCTTCTGTTGCATTCTTCTGACCCAGAGCTACTTTTAGTTTGGTCAGGGTCTGTCTTTAGCTTGTCAATGAATACAATTTTAATTTGTTAATCTTATCTGTTCTAAGAAGTTGTTATGTTTATATCTCTTTATTCCCCAGTTTGAGAAAAAAAAAGTTTACATATAAAGACAGCATAACACCTAATACCATTTAATAAAGGGGGAAAGAGGTTATGGCAATAGGATAGAGGGGGGTGTGAACTTGTTTAAAGTACAGTGTATACATCTGTGGCACCATCACAATGAGACCCCAATGTATTTGTTAACATATGCCAATAAAAATATTTAAGAAAAGGATGTAAGAATTATTTTAATGTTACTACACTGACAAATGTATCTGTAATAGCGTGCTAGATGACTTAGAAGAATATTTACAAGGCCCATAATTTCGCCCATGAAATATTTTTTTTAATCTTCTTTAGAAATGAAGCTGCGTGTAGAATAAGATCACACGTTTGCAAATATCCTTTTTACATATGAAACATTGGCTGTAAGAATTAATGGAAGTATATTTTGCTAATTTTAAGACAAAAAACTCAGAATAATCTAGGTGATTGTTTTTAAACTATGTTGAATTTGTATTTATACATAGACCTAATAAGAAAATGGAACAAGTTTAGTACAATTTGTTTTCATATTGAATGCCCTTGTGTTTTCAGTATAAAATCAGAGTATGTATATCCTTTTTGCATTTTTCTAACAAGAATATAAATCTGAAAAAAGTAGATGATTAAAAAAGTAATGCATAAATCCAAATTAATGCTTATCTTTAACTAATGTCTCTGTTGCATAATACTCATTAATGTTAAAGAAACACATATGTTAGAGGTCTACAAAAAAAAACCTTAGTACTCAGCAACCAGAACTTTGTAGTGAAATTTATAACTAAACTTACATTAGAAGAGAGTTACAAGAAATGATTAAGTTAGGCATTCAACTTAAAGTTTTAATAAAAAGAACAAGAATTCCAGAAAATAGAAAAGACACCATAAAAAATAATAATGAAGTAGAAAACAAACTTCAACACAAGCAAAGCTATTCTTTATAAAAATTAATAGATGTACTCTTAGTGATATGGATCAGGAAAAACAAAAAATGTGTAATAAGAACTTTTCAGGAGTGGAGAAAGATTTTAAAAGCTAATACTAAGAGATACCTAAAGATAACAGTTTATGCTGAAAAATGTAAAGAGGAAGCTGCAAAGTGAAAATTCCTAGAAAAATATAGTTGCCAAATTTGACATAAGTAGATTAAAAAAGCAAAACAAACCCTCCAAATTGGACCTCAAATAGTCAAAAAAAAAAAATTAAAGAAATGGAATATGTAGTGCAAAAAAAAAAAAAAAAAAAAAAATCTTCCACTAGCCAGGCACTGGTGGCTCACAGTTGTAATCCTAGCTACTCAAGAGGCAGACATCAGGAGGATCGCTGTTTGAAGCCAGCCCAGGCAAATAGTTCAGGAGACCCTATCTCAAAAAATACCCATCACAAAAAAGGGCTGGTGGAGTGGCTCAAGGTGAAGGCTCTGAGTGCAAACCTCAGTACTGCAAAAAAAAAAAAAAAAAACAAACTTCCACCAGACAGATGGTTGCTCACAAAATTTCACAACCAATCACTCCAACTTTGTATACAATCTCTGATAGACATTGGTGAAATACTTACCCACCTTAGTCTACAAGGCCAATAAAGCTTTGACGAAGGCAGTGCAAGAAAATTACATGTCCAAGCTTGGTTTATTTGAGAAATGAAACCAATTAAAAATTTTTTAATAAAAGTTCTTACCAAAAGTTTATCAGATTAAGTGACCTAATAAAATTCAGTCTATTCAGGATAAAAAATAAAACAAGGAGATGGCAAAGTGACTCAAGTCAAAGAGTACCTGCCTAGCAAGTGTTAGGCTCTTAGTTCGAATCCCATACTACCAAAAATAAATAAAAATATGAACAAACAAACAAACAAACCCAAAAGTCACAACCAAGTGGGAATATAATATTACTCTCTCTCTCTTTTTTAATCGGTACTGGGTCTTGAAGTCAGGGCCTCAAGCTTGCTAGGCAGGCACTCTATGACTTGAGCCATTCTGCCAGCCTAAGATCACTCTCTTCAACTGATAAAGAGTATCTACTTAAAAAAAACAAAAGTCTACAACAAACATTATTTCTTATTGGTGAAATATAAGAAGCATTCCAAAACTGCTTGTTATTTGTTTATTTATTAAGACAGGGTCTCTTTAAATAGCCCAGGCTGGCTTCAAACTCACAATCCTTCTGCTTCCACCTCCCAAAGGCTGGGATTACAGCCATGAATCACCACACCTGCTAGATTTTTGTTTCATAAAAGATGGGTGGTCTAGCTACATTGCTCAGGCTGGCCTCAAACAACCCTCCTGCCTCAGCCTCCTAACCAGCTGGGACTATAGATATGTCCCACTGCACCCAGCTTCTACTCAGTTACAAAAGGCAGTTATTTAAATAGTACATATGGGGAGAAAGACAGAATATGAATGCATAAGTACTGTAAATGGAAAAACCCAAGAGAAATTAATACTTAATGTAGGAGAATTTAGCAAGGAGACTACATATAAGATCAGTTACATTTTCATCCAGCAGCAATAAATAGGTTATACCAATTACTTAGTAATTTTATACTAATTTTTTTGGCAGTAAAAGGGTTTGAATTCAGGGCTTCACACTTGCTAGACAGGTGTTCTACCTCTTCAACCACATATTCAACCATAAAGTTTTAAAAAGACATTTAACACCTTTATTTGGAAAAACCTTTTTATTCTTTTTTTTTTTTTTTTTTCATGGTTCTGGAGGTTTGAACTCAGGGCCTTATGCTTGTTGGGCAGGCACTTTACTACAGAAAAAGTTTTATATTTTGTAAAATACCTCTAACAGCAGAAGTATCATGTTCATGAGTATTATAAAAATGTAAATTATTTTCAAATTTATGTATAAAGTTAATGCAATTACAAGCAAAATTTCAATAGGAGACCCAAAGGGCAAGAATGGCCAAATATATCTAAAGAGGAAAAGGTCAAAATGTTTATAATAATATACTAAAATTTATTCTAAAGAAAATGTGTTGGTGAAGAAATAGGAAAGCACACCAATGGCCAACAATAAAGAGCACAGAAAAAGATTATGTATAGATGGGAATAAAATACGTAAACAAGTGAATGGCAATTACTGAAGGAAGTATAGAATTTTCAAAGAAAAGTACGGGGCAATTTGTTTCCCAAATTAAAAATGAAAGTGAAATTGGATTCTAGCATGTTCTGAATGTGTCTCCCAAAATTCCTGTGTTGAAAACTTTTCTTTTTTTTTTTGTGATACTGGGATTTGAACTCAGGGATTCATGTTTGCTAGGCAGCACTCTACCACTTGAGCCATTGCCCCAGCCTAATGTGTTGAAAAGTTAATCCTCAATTCAATAGTGTTGGAATGCTGCACACTCTGGCTCTGCCCTCATGAACGGATTAATGTCTTGACAAAAGAGCTTGGCAAAGGTAATTGGCTCCTTTTGCCCTTTTGTCCCTTCTGCCATGTGAGGACACAGAATCTGTTCTCTCTCTCCAGAGGATGCAACAATAAGGCACGATCTTAGATCTAGAGACCAAACTCTCAAATAGACAACAAACCTGCTAACACCTTGATCTTGGATACTTAGCCTCCAAACTGTGAGGAATAAATTTCTGTTCTTTACAAATTACCCAGTCTGAGGTATTTTGTCATAGCAGCACAAATGGACTATGACAGATCTCTACCTTACTCCATATAGAAAAAGCAATTCCAGATGGATTAAATACTTAAATATGAAAGACAAAACTTGAAACATTTCAGAGAGAAATATAAGAAAATACAACTTTGCAATAAGGGAGGCTTCTTCAACCAAAAGAACTAAACAAGAAAGTAAGAGACTAATAAATTTGACATTTAAATTAAGTATGTCTGTTAAAAAACTAAGACATTTTTAATATTTTAATGAGTAGCCAAAGAATGGTATTGAAAATATGTTAAAAAAATTTTATAAATCAATAAGAAAGCCTGAAAGAAAAATAGGTCAAAGAAATGTTATTAATGCTACAGTTCAGCAATATGCAAATACAGCCTATTGCTGTTTTTATTAATAAAGTTTTATTGAAAACAGCCATCTTTAGTCATCACCTATTATCTGTGTTCAGTAGAGCAGCTGAAGAACAGACCTCATAGCCTACAAAGCCTACAACAGTTACTATCTGGCCACTGACAGGAAACGTTTATAGTCTCTGCTCTAGTTGTGTTTAATTCAAAGGTGGTCATTTTATTCTTATGCTTTATAAGCCATATCTTAAGTGCGTATTTCTGTATACGTAAAATGTTATATTGTTAAACTTTGTTTGCAAAGATGTTCTCTCTAAGCATTTTACTAATTTGGAAATTACAAGTGCTCATGACATGTTGGCCTCTATGTTTTATCTTATATTTATAACTCAAACTTAAGAAAAATATAAACAAACAAAAATCTGCAACTGTTAACAAGCATCCGGTTCTTACGAACACAGAACAGCACTAACAAACCAATAAAACGCATACCTGAAAAGGTTAACAGGCTTAATATTTAATTTCTTGTTAAAACTGCCTGTATGAAAGGTACTTTATTGCCTTCCCTTTTAATATGCATTTTTCTTTTAAGATCCTAGCCTAAAAAAAAAAAAAAAATCACAAAACTAAGTGATTGCCTTACTATTCAAAAGGAAAATCATTCACAAACCATAGAAACTTGCCTTATTAATGCACTTAAGGATATTACATAATCAAAGAATACCTAATTGATCTTAGAAAATTTTATCAACCTAAATAGCTGATCCTTACTGAGTTAGCAAATCCACAGCACAAGGAAGTGGAGGAAGAAGGCGCTGAATTATCTCCTCAGTAAGGAGTTCACCACAGTGGGAAACAAAACTCTTGACAGCTGAAAAAAAGAACAGACTTTTAGCACAATGCAATCAACTTTTAGATTACAGCATCAGCACTTTTCTTAGAGAAACAAAGAAATGTGGCAAAACCAAAAAACTTCTTGAAACACTAGTATAAAAATGAAGCTAATGTCTTCCATCTGTAAACCTATTTTAAAAAAACTTCATAGAATTACTAAAAGAGACCAGTAATAAATTAACAAAATGTTGTGGTCCAGGGGTTTTACTCAGCCCTTGAGCTCAGAAGTTAAAAAAGATATTGGTGTAGACTTTTAAGTTTGCCAGTTTTATGCAAGTTCTGCAGAATCATGTTGACTTAAGTCAGCACATTAGGACTTCCAGATGTTACCCGAAACAAAGAACTTTCTACCAGAGTTACTTCATATGAGGGATAAAATAAGTATTTTAAGATTAGACTGAGTTTCAAGATGAAATTCAAAATTGCTTTTTTCTTTTTAAGAGTAGTAATGTCATAAGTAAACAAACCCCAAATCAATGCTTCTTAGTCTTTCCAGGGAACCCACCCTTCCTTAGTTCAAATTTTCATGGCAGATATTACTTACAACAGTCTATATATTGTCAAAGGGTACAACTTTCATATATGTATAGACTAAATGGAAACCACGCTTAACCATGCTAATTAAATTAAACCCAAGTATTCCAAAAAGAGCAATGAGTTGGGAGTAGAGCATTTGCCTTGCAACTGTGAGGCTGAGTTCAAACCCCAGTACTACCAAAAAAAGCAAGGAATGAATACCTACTAAGACAAAGCAATCAACAGTTTTCAATGGGTCTGCATTTAATAAAATATGCATTAATTAGCCTAAAGACTAGAATTCTCAAATATATTTTATTACTGTATTCTTCAGTTGTCATAATCAACTAACCACTTATGTTCAGTTACAAAAACCACCACAGGTAGATTTCTTCTCTTACATTAAATGAAACATGGTGCATGTCAAGACAAAGGGTCGGGGGAAAAGTCAAGAGAAAGGGAAAGAAAAGACTAAAGTCAACCTACCAGAGAGAGCACCAGCTCGTCCTTCCAGGGTTACTTGCCATGTAAATGAATCTCCTCGGCTCTTTTCTGTTTCTAGATCTTTAGAAGCTGCTGGAAAGACACATTTCCACAACAGCAGAACTCGAGCTAGGTGATGACTGACAACTGCAGGACCTGTAATTTATTCAACTTGTCACTTTTGTAACTAATTCTAAAGAAGTTACTGTTTAAAACTATTATTAAACAGGAACTTCCCTCTTAAAATATAAACATTTTAATTCACTACTATAATGTTTTACCTTTCATCTCCTCCCCTCCCTCTCTCTTTAGTACCAAGACTGAACTAAGTAAGGGCTTCATGTTTGCTAGGCAGTATTGCTCTTTTCTTAACTTCTGGTTCCAAATGTATCTATTACTGAATGGCAGAGGCAGGAGGATCATGAGTTTGAAATAAGCCCAGGCAAAGTTAGTAAGACTCTATCTTAAAAACAAAACAAAACACAACAAAGGGGCTGGGGGCTTAGCTTAAGTGGTACAGAGCTTGCCTGGCAAGCATGAGGCTCTGGGTTCAATCCCCAGTACCACAGCAAGCAAAGAAACAAAAAAACCCTGCAAGGCAAAAATTAAGAATGTATTCCACTTGTTAGGTAAAAATCACTTCTCCAAAAGAGAGTCAAGGCTGACAGTAAGCCTGAGGCAGGAAATACACAATATAAAACCTTATCATGGCAAAACCAAAAATATTACACCAAAGAACACTTTTCATTTTGAAGGGACTCTCACTGACCAAAGAAGAGGATCAAAAGTAATAATGGCTGCACTGTATTGAAACACATAAATATACAAAATTCCATGAGTTTTTAAATAATGATATTTAAAAACTTTACTGGTTCTTTTTGAAAATTGCTAGGATTTTAATACATACTCTAAAACTTGATAAAAAGGGAAGAATAATACATAAGACAATGAATTAAGCTCAGAAAAATACTGAAACATAAAAAATTTTAATTTTTCTATAGTGATTATGAATATACAATAAAATATGACATGCACTAATCTCTTTATTAAAGAAAAAAAGGACCTTGTGTGGTCTTTCTCCAATGGAATGACACTGGTTGTAAGAGCTTTTATCAAAATATTGCTTTTATTAGTTTATTATCTCTTTAATTACTCAAGAGCATCATCAGGCATGAAATACCCACCAACAGCAAATGAAAGCTTGCTACCTTATAGCCATCATAGAGTGAAATGATGACCTATGCCAGGGACCAACAAACTATTTCTGTACAGGGTCAAATAATAAATATCTCAGGCTCTGAAAGCTGAATACTGTTGGAAATATTCAGCTCTGTCACTGAAGTACCTAAACACCACAAGCAACACAAAGACAAATGATCTTACACTCAAATAAAACTTTACTTTTGAAATACTGAATTCTAATATTCATATATTTCTCATGTGTCATAAAATATTCTTTTGTTTTTTTCTCCCAAGCCATTAAAAAAATATACAAGCTATTTTTAAGCTCACCGACCATACAAAAACAGGTGACAAGCCAGATTTAGGCCTTGGGCTAAACCTGATCTAGTTCAATAAATTTCTTTAATCATCTTAAGAATATTACTAAAAGTAATTCTTCACTTGATTACTTATTTCAAATTTTAAATTTCTTATATCCGATCACAATGATTTATTGACCAAATCCAGCCAATTGTTTCATATTCTCACTAACTCATCTAACAGAGACTTAAAACACAATATAACTAATAAAATAATAAAATTAAGTCTTATGGTATATAACTGTAATTACTTATTTCTAATCATTACAATTTAGCTAGGCACGGAGTATCCTAGCTCCTTGGGAGGTGAACATCAGGAGGATCATGGTTCACCGCCAATTGGGCAAAAAGTTTGAGCGATCCCATTTTAGTCAATAAAAGATGGTAGGGTGATGCACGCTTATCATTCCAGCTACCTGAAGAGCATAAAGCCAACCCTAACATAAACTTGAGACCCTAGCTTACAAAATAACCAACGCGCAAAAGAGCTAAGGCTCAAGTGGTAGAATGCCTGCCTAGCAAGTGCAAGACTCCAAGTCCAAACTCCAGTAACCGCCAAAACAAAACAACACAAACAGAAGAAAAACAAACAAACAAACAAAACACCTAACAACTCAACTGAGCTCCACCACCTTCAATACAAAATGCAACCTTACTGGGTATTACCCATCCTAAAAATAACTATAGAAGTGGATTTGCAGGTTATGGTAAATTCTTTTCCTTACCCTTATACAAGGGTAAAATTTTCTTTCTGAAAATGGATGTGAATGATTTTTGGAAATGTCAGTGATTTTTAGCTTGAGAAATGATCAATTACTGACCTAAGGCTTATAAATTGGTCTGAAAGAGAAAGTCAAGAGGTATCTGTAAACATTTTTAGAAATAAAGTAAATGACTTTTATTCACTTTTTTTTTGGGGGGGGGGAACTCCCTATGTTGCATGAGCTTGCCTCACACTCCAAGGCTCAAGTGATCCTTCCATCTCAGCACAGTGAGCAGTTGGGACGACAGGCATGTATGTGCCATGGAACATGGCTATAAGTAATTTCCTATGGTAACCACTAGGAGGAAAATGCTTGTGTGGCTACTTAATTTATGATACACATTAAAAGTTAGTCTCATCAAATCATAAACAAGAGTTCTTTCACACTGAAAACACAAAGAACATAATATGTAAACCTTCCAAAGGACTGTTACCTAATGTCATCAGAGCAGCTATCAACAACCATCCAGCTTGTGTGCGCTGGGCCGACAGGCGACTATTTTGAGCAGCAGAACACAGCAAATCCTCTGCTAATGTCATAATAATCTGTTTATGTATAGAAGAATAAGGTAATAAAGTCAGTTTATAAATTATGAGACAAATGAGAACCGCTAATTATAATTTCTTAAGAAATTTACATATAATAAATGACGATGTAGAACTGTCATTCATATGGACTACATGATAGGACAATGTCATACAGAACTTATGAAAGAATTAAGTTTTCAGGGTTAAACACTGGTATGTTAGACACAGAAACTCAAAATTTTCTGTAGAGCACAGGTGACATTTTAAAACAGGTATTAACTGAAGTTAATTTTGAATTTATTTTTAGTTTTAACCAATTATCCTCTTTTGATTGGTAATTATCAGGAAAGTTTCATTATACCGGTCTCCCTGTTTTTAAAATTCTATATATCACTTTGATACGTCAATGGGTGATAATGATCTTCTTTAGGCAACAAACCATCCTGGTTGAAAGCAGTCAAAATAATCTCCTATCTAGAGAACTTTCACAGTAGGGTGGGATTCATTATAATGTCATATTTTAAAAGTCTGCAAAGAAAGAAAGAAAACCAAACACAAAAACAGAACTGGGGATGTGGTTCAAGTGGTACAGCACTTGCCTAGTAAGCACTCAAGGCCCAGGGTTCAATTCTCAGTACCACAAAAAAATAAATAAATAAATAAAATTGAGAAACACAAAAACAAAAAAAAAAGAAAATCTATGAAATAGGCAATGTTTCAACACAACAGAAGGAACCAGATAGTTCCCATTTATGGATAATGTGTGTTTACAAAGTACAAAGGATAGGGAGCATATAATGACTGAGAAAACACCTGTTGCTAATCATCTCTGCAAAAGTGGCAAGTATTAAAAGCTGCATATACATTTCCTAAAAAGGAAGGCTAGTGTATTTTAAAACAACCAACTAACTTATAGTTAATTTAGGATTACCTACAGCCTACACAACAAATGGGTGCCACTCAAAAAAAAAAGTGAAGGACAAGCAGGGTATGGTGGTGCATGCCTGTAACCCCTGCAGTTGGAAGGCTAAAGCAGGAGGATCATGAGTGTGAGGTCAGCCAGGGCTACATAGTAAGTTCAAGGCCAGCCTGGACTGTACAGCAAGATCCTGTAAGTACAAAACAAACCATTTTAGTCAAATCAGGACAAGTGGACATTCTCTCGGAAGGAAAGTTCATAATGAGAACTGACATAAGTTTAATTAAATATATTCAATTATGAGTCTTTGCTTAGGAAAATGTAAGGTGCTAGTTTGGAATGTAACTAAAATTATAAATTTAAATGAATAATATTGCCTCCCAAAGCTGTCAGTCTCTTTATTCTAATGACACTTGCAAATCTCAAAATATTTTTGGAACTTCTGAAGTTGTGAAATGTTCTTTTGCAGACCCCAAACTGGGGAGGATATACTATAAAACTCAATGACATTAAGTGACAAGAAAATGAAGAAATAAGGGTGATATAGTTTCTCAAAAGCTATTAAATGTATGTGGGTTGTAAGGGCATTCACTATAAAATTCTTTGTCACTTGTAATTCCTAGTTATTAAAAAAGAAACACTATGATTTGCTTATTTTGTAGATTCTATATTTCATATATTTTTCTCTACAAATTTCCTGGTACATTAAAACTGGGTTATTTATTCAGCAGATCTTATATCATTTATCTGTTTCAAATGCTACATTAAAAAAAAAAAGAGACTAAATTTCCCCAGAAAACTACATTTTTTCAGTAGCAATGCAGTTTTGGAGGGATACTTTTAAATCATGAACTAATGAGACTTTTATGTATTTATTGTGTTATAATCAATTAGTCATTATTATCATTTTTGTGAGAACAAGGGTTTGAGCCTAGGTCTTTGAAAGCACTTTACAACTTGAGTCATCTCCATCTACTCCTATTTGCTTTATTTTTCAGATAGGATATTGTGTTTTTACCCAGACTGGTTTCAGACTGTGATCCTCAAACCAAAAACCTCTCGCACAGCTGCGATCACTGACCTGTGCCACCATATAAGGGTTCTTTGTTGAGACTGGGGTGAGGGTAGGGGGCCCAGGCTGGCCTTGAACTGCAATCTTTCCAATCTCTGCCTCCTATGTAGCTGGGATAACAGGTGTGAGCCACTGCATCAGGCCCACAGTCATTATCATTTGTGATATACAATGGAAGCTCAAGGTATCATTCTTATTTATTTATTTTTTTTGGCAGTACTTGGGTTTGAACTTAGGGCTCACACCTGCTAGGTAGGCACTCTGCCAGCCCTTTTTTGGGTTGAGTATTTTTCAAGATAGGGTCTTGTGAACTATTTGCCTGGACTGGCTTTGAACCGCAATACTTCTCATCTCTGCTTCCTGAGAAGCTAAAAATTGCAGGTGTGAGCCACCGGTGCCCAGATCTTTTAATTCTTTCATGAATCCCTTGCTTTCTGTCATGACAAAATATTTCAGTTTTATATTGTGCATTTTCTTCCCCAGATCTGAAAACAGCCACTCCTTACTGGATTCCTGATTCTTTTTTGGTGGAAAAAGTTATTTAGAGCCAGTCTGAACATTAGGGTATTCCCTGCTACTGAGTTACCATTGCTTTTTAGACTTTTCAGTGGACAAAATGAGGGTATAAATAGTTTTGGAAAAATTAAATTATGAGTTAATAATGATGATTTCAACTCAAATTTACCACACGGAGCTCTTAATTTTCTTCATTCTACAACTGTAGCTTTTTTTCCTCATAGAAAATCCTGGTTCCTAAGAATATGAATTATTTATCTACTTTGTATTATTTTATGTAAACTAATTTTGAAGAAATACACCAACAATACTAGTAACTAAAATTATTAAATAAAGTTTAAGATTTCTTTCACAGCTCTACTTGTCCTTTACAATAGGCTTTTAAATGCATTTATGTGGTGAAGATAGTTATGTAGGCAATAAAGACTTCAGGAACAAATTTTGTTACTACATGTAGATACTGCTAACAAAAGCAAAGAAAGCACTCCTTTACTGCAGTATAGATAAAACACTTAAAAACCTTCCCTTCATTTTTCACAGCAATTGTGCTGATAGTACTGAACTGCTCAAACAGTTGTGCTGCATGGTTTAACTGCATAATACACAAAGACTAGGACAAATCTGAATCATTATTATATAGAGAATGAAATCATTACCTTGCCCTTTCCATGAGGAATTCCTAAAGGGCAATGTTTCACTGCTCCTAGCAAAGCTGCTACAGCAAAACTAAAGCCAGTCACTGCTTCAGGTGAAGACTTAAGTACAGTAAGTCGTTCAAGACAATGATCTACAAGAGGTGTTAGGTAGGAAGGTAATGCCACAGCAATACAGTGCAAACACCAAGCTGCTGCGAGTCGAACAGAAGTGCTAGGATGAGGAATAACTGAAATGACGCTGTCAAGAAGGCCTGGGAGGACAGAACAAATAAATGATGACTTAGGTATACAGACAAAACTTATTTAGCCATAATGCAGTCAAATCAGAAAGAAAAAATTAAGTGATACATACTTAAAAACAGGATTTTAGCCTAGGAATAACTTTTAATATCATCTCATGAAAATTGTTGTAAATTAATCAGTACACAAAAGAAAAATTTTATTTCTGGGTCAATGTTTTACCAACTTTATCTTGAGATCATTACTAATTTGGTACTAGGAAACAGAAATTAACAATAAATAACAAAAACACCTTTAAAATGTCACACCTTATCTTGCCATGCCTTTTAAAAATTCCTCTAGCACATTTATCTACGTAATAAATACTTCTTAGCCATCATAACACTCTTATCTGAGAACAAATGTTAAAATCCAGATTTTTCTGGGTCCTTAGTGGGCTACCTTACTATAAAGGCCGTGGAAGACACCCAATAGCAAGTGGGAAAAAGTTCTATACTTGCTATGATTCAAGATACAACTTCATTAAAACACATAAATGTCCAGGCAGGTGCCGGTGGCTCAAATCTGTATTCCTACTTAGCTACTTAGGAGGCTCAGATTGGTAGATTTTCGGATCAAGGCCAGCCTGGGCTAAAAAAATGAGCTTCTATCTCAAAAATACCCAACACAAAACAGGGCTGATGGAGTGTCTCAAGTGTGAGGCCTTGAGTTCAAACTCCAGTACTACCCTCTCCCCAAAAAAGTTTTAAAAAGTCAGTCATTAACGATCACATTCTGTATGATTCTATCTATCAGAAATGTCTTAACTAGGTAAATCGATAGAGGCAGAAAGATTAATATTTGTCAGGGGTTGGGAGAAGTTGTATTCTTTGAATACAAGTAAAATAAGGTATTGAGTCAAATTACAAACAAATTTACCTGCACTGGAATCCTGCAGCAAAGGTGCGGCTGTGGTGCCCAGACTATGAATGAGATTTCCGAGTTCTTGTAAAGCACATACCAGCATATGCTGGCTGGCTGCTGTATCTGTGGAACTGAGCCGGGTTTCCAAATTACTATCACTCAATACAGCATCTGATAGAAACACAAGAATTAACTACGCATCACTATTTTATAAAAATGTATCATAGGGGGTAGGTGTTAGGAGCAGAAAAGTAAGAAGGCAAAAATTAATATAATACACCCACTTGATGAATAGTATGAAGTCCTTCAGGCAGTAAGTGGAATGCTTAGGTGGGAAACTGCATTAATAGAGAATGAAGAGAACCTAATACAACCAATTTGATTTAAGCAACCTGATCAGAGATCCTTTATTACTCTTTTTAGCAAGGGACCATGAAAAGAATTCAAGGGAAATCAAAAACTATTCCAATTATTATTGATATTCAAGATAAGCAGAGTAGACTTGAAACAGTATGGGGCCTAAACAGATAATTGTTTAAAGCGATTATTTACTTTTGCTTCTATAAGATATACAACAGGAATTCTAAGAATCTTCAAGACTTTTGCATTGGGCCAGGCCTCGGTGGCTCTCACCTGTAATCCTAGCTACTCAGAAGGCAGAGATCAGGAGGATCATAGTTCAAAGTCAGCCCAGGCAAAGAGCTCTCAAGACCCTATCTCAAAAAAACCCATCACAAAAAAAAATGGCTGGCAGTGTGGCTCAAGCAATAAGAGTGTCTGGCTAGCAAGTGTAAGGCCCTGAGTTCAAACCCCAGTGCTGCCCCGCTCTCTAAGCAAAAAAAAAGGTGAGACTTCCCACTTTAATGTTGTATTGAGGGGAGGGGAAAGACTTTTACATTGGGCTAGAGCCACGGTTCAAGTGGTAAAAAAAAGTGCTTGCCTGGCATGCGTGAAGCCCTGAATTCAAGCCCCAGTAAAACACACACACACACACACACACACTTTTTAAAATTCAATATAGTGATACCAGCTTAGCTTTTCCAATGGGATTGTCTTAGTGTGATACTTACCCATAACTTTCTTTAGTTTCCAGATGGCCTGGCAGATTTCCTTTGCAGCAGCAATTTGAGCCTTTTCTCCGAGAAGGCCTCCTATAGTAGCTCGAAGGATGAATGAAATACATCGGCGGCAGCAGACAGCATCAATCTGAGTTTGAGTGGCTTTAGGATGTGACTGTGACACAAGGCTTAGGATATGAGAAAGAAAGATGGCAAAATTTTTCTCTAGCCAAGCTCCTCCTAATGTTGAAACAAATACCACGTAAGCCTAAAAAAGAAAGGAGTTTTATCTTCAAAATCAAATCATTTCAATTTTGTATGAAATACTTTCTTCTCCACAAAATAATAAGTAGTTTTCTCTACAAACTGTACTCTTTTCTCACTTACGGCCACTTGATACACATAAATGTAGCACAATTTTTTTTGTTTTGTTTTGTTTCCTTGTTTAAAAGTAAAACTTAAGTACTCAAAGTTCATTTCTGTTGCCCCCATTTTATTTCGATCAGTCTCTGCAAACTTACAGTAGACTCAGTGTTGCCAGATAATTTGTAAAATATGTCTGTGGCTTCTCTCAACAAAGGTTTCTTCCTATTTAATATTCTAGACAAGAAAACTCAATTCAAACATATGAACACATGATAAGAATTAACTATGCTCCAACACCATAACTCTATGGGAATTCAGTTCTAGAAACCAAAGGAGCATTCACAGTGATGAATCACTGCTCTTTAGTTTCATGAATGTTAATGGTCTGTCTTAGTCCAGAAATACAAGTAGTTTTCTTAAACACATAGTTTACAATTAAGCTGCAAAGCTCTTATTTTCATGAAGTCTATATATAGCATAAAAAAATGAGGTTATGTGAATTTTTTTAAAAGTGTAGGTTTGCTTTCAACCATACTAACATTTAGGAAAAATAGAAAAGATAACTCAGGGGAAGAATGCAGTGACTTTTGTGTTGTTTTACTCTAAGATATCTTGCCTAAGAGCTTTTAAAATTTTGTTTAGGACCAAAAATTTAATCACTGAAATAGGTTACATGTAATAATCTTTATTTAGGAGTTAAAAATCTCATAAAATGTTTATTTTGTCCATGTGCTAAATAATATGTATCTAATAGCTTAAATGGTACTTCATGATCACGCACAGACACAGTGGAAGACATGTGAAACCAGAAGACATGAAAACACATGGCTGGAAACAAAACAAAACAAAACAAAAGGATGTTTATGATTCAAAGGAAGTAGAACTCCATTATTAGGAATTTAAAACACATTGTGGGTAATATGATTCTCTTACTTGTAAGCCAGTTTTTAAAAAATATTTTCATCTTGCCATATCCATCTATAAACATGAGGGTGTGAAGAGTGACCTAACATAGCATCACTTTGCAGAGTCAGATACTAAGCTTTCATTATCGGCCAGTGAGAATTACAGTCAGATACCCATTTGTGATTCCAACCTGAGTAACTCCAACTCGAACATCCCTACTGACTGAACTGGTTCCTTTCAGCATATCTCCACTGGCTCGAAGAAATCCTGAACTCCCACGTAGAAACCCTGTTCCTAGTAATTCCAGAACTTCCTCCAGAGATACTCTGCGAATGCTTTGACGTGAGGCTGCTATGACAAAGAACAAAACAAAACTGTGATTCATATTTTATACACTAAATTTCAAAGCATGACCTTTATCTTTTGGTGCTGGGGATGAAACCCATGTGCATGCTAAGCACACTCTACCACTGAGCTACATCCCATTAATACATGATCTTGATTTGCCAACTGCCTGCATATTAATAGAAACAAAAATAACTAAAGCTTCAAACAAAATGCAAGATTTACAGGACAGAAAAAGTCATACAAAGTTTCAAAGTTCAAATCAGAATGAGCCCTGAAAACAAAAGCAAAAAACAAGAACAAAAACAAAACAAAACAAAAAACCCGAATGAGCCTTGAAGCACCATATCAAAGATATCTTAAAGTCTATGCCACTTTTGGACCTTATTCTTAAAAGAAGTTTAATGACTGTCTTCTAAAATGAGGGGAGACATAAACAAAGTTCTCTACTTCTCCACAAATATAAACGCTATACAGTGTTTTGAAAATTCTTTTGAAATACTAAAAAAGTCAAAACAGCTGTATGCAGTGGCTCATGCCTCTAATCTCAGCTATTCTGAAGGTGGAAATTGGGAGGATCATGGCTTGAGGCCTGCCAGTGTAAAAATGGGATTCTATCTGAAAAATAACCTAAAAGCAAAAATTGCTGAAGCATGGCTCAAGTGGTAGAACACTTGCTTAATCAAACCTCAGTACCCGCCCCTCCCCAAAAGAGCCAAACCTAATTCTATTTTCCCAAATGCTCTATAACTCTTAATGAAATTTACATAAAGTAACCACCATGTGCTATTCTCAACTGGCAATACAACTTTTGTAGTTCTTTCAGTCTCTAAAGAAATTTAAGCTAATTATAGACAAAACTACTCAGAGCTGGCCTTTAGGGTATAATAATTAAGGGTAGTTAGGGCAGGAATGTTTAAGTTTGCCTTCAGTTTCATACAGTGAGTAGCTAAGAAATAATATTCATGAGACTCCCCCCATCCCCAAAATAACCAGAGCACATTAAAATGGAGGCGTGCCTCAAGCGGCAGAGTGTCTGCTTTGCAAGCTCAAAGCCCTGAGTTCAAACCCCAGTCCCACCAAAAAAACAACAAAAACATATAAACCATTTTTCCTTTTTCTTCTGAAAATTAATGGTATCCTCTAAACCTCGTTACTCAGATCACAGAGTAGTAAATAAACTTCCATTAATATTATAAACAACAAAAAAAAAAATCTACCTTCTTGCCTAAAAAAGAGAAAAACCGTTTGAGACAAAATCTATCTCAGCATTTGGGAAAGAAACATTACTAAATAGTGTAAAACTCATGCCCACGTTGATCCCAAATTCTAGAAAGACGAGACAATACACATAATGAATGACTAGATACATAATACATTAAACAGTAGTTAAAAGCCATGCAGATCCAGGCATGGTGGTGTACATCTATAATCCCAGCACCCAGAAGGCAGAGGCAGGGAGGATCATGAGTTCGAGGTTAGCCTGGGTTACATAGTAAAACACTGTCTTAAAAACAACAACAAAAATAAAAAATACCCAACCAACCAATAAACAAACAAAACAGAAAATAGAGTAGGGTAAATAAGGTTAGGAATATTGTGGATGGCAGTAAAATTTGTGGTTTTAAATAGGGATGCTGGGATGGGATTTATTAGAAGGGTGACGTGAACACAGTATAAGTGAGGGAATTAGGCCTGATAGCATCTGGAGAAAAAATTTATAGGCTTTTTCTTCTAGGTAAAAAGACCTTGTGGGTGAATATTAAGTGCCCAGTGAGTTTAAGCACAGCAATGTGATTGGAACAGTGAAGGAGGTCTAATAGGAGACAGGTCAGCATGGGGAGAGGGCAGGAGGTAGGCCTGCTGCTGTGTTCGGACCACAGTATTGAAGAGGCAAAGGCAGAGTAGGAAGACTCATTAGGAGTGGTTGATAAACTCAAAAGCAAAGAAGCAAGGTGGTTCAGTGAAGAAAGTGAGGAGAAGATGGAGTTTGAAATTTAAATTTTTTTACTTAAAAACCCCAAACCCTCAAAATATCCCAAAAAAAAAAGCAGTAAATGCCTATATACTTTTACTTAAACTCATCATACTCATTACTTTCTTTTTTTGGCAGTTCAGGGGTTTAAAGTCAGGGCCTCAGGCTTGCTATATAGGTGCTCTACCTCTGTGTTGGGTATTCTGAGGTAGGATCTCACTTTTTCCCTGGGCTGGCCTTGAACCTTGATCCTCCTGACCTCTGCCTCCTGAGTAGCTAGGATTGCAGGCGTGAGCCCCAAGCAGATTTATTTTTTATTTAGTAGGTTATAATCCATTTCTGTCATTACTCATTTTGATGCTAATACTCCCCTGGATCTGACCAGTGATGTCTCTTCACAATGCTAGCAACAGAAGCTCCTTACTTTTCGGGACAAGATGTTCCAGGCTCATCTTGGACTTTCTCTGCCCCAACCCCACAATTAACCATTCTTCAAAGAGTCCCGATTCTGGATATGTCTTAACAGAGTTAAGCAGTGTGTGTGAGAGAGGAGTCAAGGATGGCTTCATGAATTTTGGTTTGATCACCTAGAAGTTGTCATCAACTTCTATCTACAAAGATGCAAATAGAGCATGTGTATGTGTGGAGAGGGAGAATAAGCATTTGGTTTAGCACATGTTAATTTGAAACATTAAATAAACATCCAAGTGAGATGCCAAAGGTCAGACGGCTGTGAGAGACTGGTTTCCAGGAGAGAAGACTATGCTAAAGATCCAGGAATCCCTGATTATAGGTAGAATTTAAGGCCTGAGATGGGATTAAGATCACAACAGAGGGAAGAGCAGAAGATCAAGTACAGTCCTTTAAGAAAACAAGTGAGGATGGAATAACAAAAGGCAGGAAAAAAAAGATATGGAAGGTCAACTGAGCTAAATGTTGCTGCATGATCAAGTAAGGTGACTGAGAACTGCTCACTCGTCTCAGCGAGGCTAAATATAGGAATGTAAGCTCCACAGGGGTCAGGGCATTTATCTGTTTTGCTCAATGACACATTCCATGTGCTCAAAACAAGGCCCTGGCCCGGTATAAAAACTCAATAAATATTTGTTGAATGCAGAGACACATGAATGGGCAATAGGTACGTGAAAATATGTGCACTCACTAGATAAATACAAATAAAAGACACAGCTCTGGGTATAGTGTCTCATACCTGTTATTCCAGCTACACAGGGGGCAGGGAGGAAGACTGCTGGGCAAGGCCAGCCCAGGCAAAAGGTTAGCAAGACGCCATCTCAACAAACAAGCTGGGCATTACCTGTGGTTCCAGCTAGCGGGGAAGTGTACGTAGAAGGATTCAGGTCCAGGTTAGCCCAGAGCAAAAGGCACTTTTTGTAAGACCTTATCTGAAAAATAACTATAGCAAAAAGTGCTGGAACAAGTGGTAGAGCACTTGCCTAGCAAGCACAAGACCCCAAGTTCAAACCTCAGTATTATTTAAAAAAAAAAACAAAAAAAAGTGTACAACATTGGTACAAATGCAAAATGATGCAGTCCCTACAAACACCAGTATGGGAACTAGGTATGGTGACATATACCTGTAATCCTAGTACTTGAGAGGCTGAGGCAGGAAGATCACAAGGTCAAGGGCAGCCTGGGATACAAAGCAAGTTTAAGAGCAGACTAAGCTACACAGCAAGACTCTGACTCAAAAAACCAAGAGATGAGAATGTAGCTTAATGGTACAGTACTTGCCTAGTATGCACAAGGCTCTGGGTTCAATTCCCAGAATCACAAAAAAACAAGCAAACAAAAACAGTATGAAAGTTCCTCAAAAAATTAAAAATAATACTAGCATAAGATCAACCAACCCCCCAAAAAATGAACTCAGGATCTCAAAGACACTAGCACTTTAATGTTCACTGAACCATTACTCACAATAGCCAAGATGTGGAAACAACCTAAATGTCTACTGACAGATGAAAATGCAAAAAAAAAAAAAATCTTACAGGGCTGGGGCATAGTTCAAGTGGTAAAGCCCTTGCCTAGCAATGGCAAGGCCCCGAGTTCAATCCGTAGGACCACAATAAATAAAAGATGAAAATGTCACATATACGTACAGTGGAATACTATTAAGCCTTATAAAAGGAAACGTACAATACATGACAACACTGATGAACCCTGAAAACATTATGCAAACAAAATAAGTCAGTTCCAGAAAGACAAATACTTCATGATTCCACTTACATGAAGTATCTGCAACAGTATTCAAATTTATAGAATCAAAGAGAAGAATGGTGGTCACAGAAGTAAGAGAAGGATAAAATATAAGGTTTCAGCTAAGCAAGATGAATAAGCTTGGGCTGGGAGCGGTGCTCAAGTGGTAGAGCACGTGCCTAGCAAGTTCAAGGCTGAGTTCAAACCCCCATACTGCCAAAAAATTAAATTAAAAAAAAGAAACTCTAGATAACTTCTGTGTGGCATTATACCTTTAGTCAACAGTACTGTATTATACACTTAAAACTTTGTTGAGAGGGTAGATCTCATGTTAACTGTTAATACAATATAACAATTTTTTGTTGAATCAATGAATGTGTAGGTTAATGATGGCCTTAACAAGAACACATTTAGAGAAAACCCTATTGGAAATGTGTTTTAAAATGATGGGGGCATGGCTCAAGTGGTAGAGTGCCTGCCTAGCAAGCAAGAGTTCAAACACCAGGATTGAAAAAAAAAAAAAGAAAGAAAGAAAATGATGGAGGAGGCCAGCATGGGTGGCTCACTTCTGTAATCCTAGTTACTCAGGAGATGGAGATCAGGAGGACAGTGGTTTGAAAGCCAGCACCGGGCAAATAGTTCACCAGACAATCCTATCTCAAAAAACACCAAAAAACACAATCACAAAAAAGAGCTGGAGATGTGGCTCAAGTGTACCAAGCATGAGGCCGTGAGTTCAAACTCTAGTGCCGCCAAAACAAAACAAAATAAAACAAAGTGATTGGGGAGAGAAGACAAGGACAATGAGCACTAGGACCTCTTCTGAGAAACTGTGTTGTAAAGGGAAGAAGAGAAGGGTGCTCTTTCTGGCTGGGAAAGTAAGAGTACAACAAGATTTTATTAATTTATTTATTTAATTTGTGGGATTCTAGGGGTTGAAGTCAGGGCTTGCACTTGCTAGGAAGGCAGCTCTATCACTTGAGTCATACCTCCAGCCCTAGATTTTTTTTTTTTTGAAAAGAGAAAAACAAAAGTATGTTTTGTAGGAGACAATTCAGTAGTGAAAAAAAATGATGTAAAAGAGAGAACAGAGACTTAGATCAATGTTCTTGAGTAGGTAAGAGGAGGAACTCTACTCAGAGGCCAAGAAATTCATTGTTTATGGGAAAGTCGTAGTATATAGACATACAGGTACAGATGCTAACAGCTGGGATATGGTAGGGGAACCTATGAACAAAGGTGAGAGTAAATGGACTAGGGAAATAATAGCATGATTGCCGGCCATTATTAGGAAGTAATTTTAAAAGACTACATAAATCCCCAACAACTTATCACAGTGTCAGGAAAATTCCTTTTCTTTTTTACAGTGACTTGGTATATATAATACACTATTTGAAGCCTGTTAAATCTTTTTTTGTTTTTGGCAGCATTGGGGTTTGAACTCAGGGCTTCAGGCCTGCTAGGCACTCTTCAGGCACTCTTACTGCTTTAGCCAGTCCACCAGCCCAAAGCCTATAAGTTTTATTAGGAACATCATTTCAGTTCTTTACCTCATATCTTTGTACATTGTGTTTTTCAGCTGTTCACACAACACTGTGTTTGCTTTCAAAATTATTAAGTACTATGTTGTTAACTTTTAGTCACCATTTTTAAAAACTTATGACATCCAGATTCCTTTTAGGTTGCGTAAAAATAATTATAACACACATAGAACTTACAAATGCAAGATGAAAGAATTTCTAACAAAAGAGTAGACCAAAAGTTTTTAGTGTGGATGAAACCAATTCTTCATTTTGCTTAGTCTTATTTTACTTCTTTTATATAATGTTCTAATTATGCAATTTCTACACTTTGCTTGGTTTTACTGCGATTGTGTGCTAATGTCAATGACACACTTATAGAATTTCAAGAGAGTATGATTAAACATAGCTTCTAATTTCAACTTCTTAAGATTTTACCTCTTAAATGAGCTTTTTTTCTGGTTTAGGTTTTTTTCTTGTGACTCTTTACAAGATTAGAAGAACCACAGTAAAAATACAATTTTCCTATTATAAATTTTACACTTGTAGGCCTCAACTGGAGAATGAGAAGGTTATACTATAAGTGTTTTCCAGGTGGTTATAATATGGTATAATCTGTCCTCTCTCCACTCCAGTTGAAAAGTACTGATTAAGAAAAAATCCTCCTTTATATAATAATAAGTGACTTCTAGAACAACACTCATCCAAATTTAATGTACATACAAAGTATATGAGAATCTTGTCAAAATGAGAATTTTGATTTATTAAGTGCGGTGGGGCCTGGAGTTTCCTGCATTTCTTAAACCCTCTCAGGTGATACCAGTGCTTGCGGTTTGCAGATATTTGAGGTGCAAGGGCTTACAGAACAGTTACATTTTCATTTATGTGAGCTTGCTTAATCTTTGGAAATAAATGATAAAGTAAGTTTTCAATTATTCACCAGTGTTTTATATACACTGTGAGCTAAACACAGGCATATTCCATTGTTTAAAAAAAAATTCCATCCTTGCTTACAGCTTATACATGTACAAACAGGGAATAACAAATGAAACAAAGTAAAACCCTCCACATATAGTAAATTTCAAATACCTGTTTGGAATTATCTACATTATTTGTTCCTTGTACCAGTTTAGAAAATGGCAAGACAAATGTGATCAGATATATATTCCTTAGAAAAAAATTCAAGATTTGGGTCTTAGCTCTTATTGGGTACCACAATCCACAATTTATTAAAAAAAAAATAAAGACAATGAATAAAGCACATTACGTTTTAAGAGCTCTTGCCAAGTATGGTGGCACATGCCTCTAAACCCAGCACTTGGGGTGGGGGAAGCAGGAGGATCATGAGCTCAAGGCCACCCTGGGCTACAAAGGGAGGCATCTCAAAACCAAACAAAACAGAGTTCTTGTTTTTATTCCTCAATTCTTTTCCTGAACTTCCTGAGAATGAAATCTTAGGACCTTCAGCAACGTTTATGAACTAAAATTTTACTTATATTCTGCTTGTTTTTAAATAATGGGTAGCCATAATACTACATATATTTTTTAAACCAACAGGAAAAAAATTACAGAAGATTTTGAAAATAATTACATGACTTTACCTGCTCCTGGATGTTTAGAAATTATAGCTTTAGCCAATATTGTGCCCAACAGTTTTGAAACTGAAATCCTCACATCGTAATTGGAACCTTCAAATGACTTAAAACATAGTGTGGCCACACTGTCCAGGTCTGTACTCCACATAAAGATGGCCTCATTCTGAAGTTCAAGAAGACACTACTCAATTGGACAAACAAATCAATGAAAAACAAAAAGTATAAATGTCAGGCTCAGATCTGTGTAAGTTGTAAAAACCATAGGGTCTAACAAAAATAAACATAAAAAAATAAAAATAATACAAATCCAAAGTATCTCTATAATGACTACAGGAACAACAATTATTAAATCCTAAAGATGATATGCTACGTAAAACAAAGAAGACAGGAGAACCCACTTCTGACATAACAGGCCATGAATACTGTCTTTAGAATCAATTTGTTGGTTATGAACAACTGTGAGAATAATTCCGACACAGCTAAACAATTTTAGTGTAGTATTTAATTGATTATGTTAAAAAGGCATGATTAAAAACAATAAACCACTTTGAAACAACATAAACCTTACATATAAACTTTAGTTTACATACAGAAGGGAAACACAGAGAAGTATCAATGCATATTTAAAGTGTCGAGCTTGAACTTCCCACTCTGAGAATGTGTCACTAACTACTTGAATGTCAAGAAATTCACCTAAGCCTCTGGGCCTGAGTTTCCTCACATGTTAAAAGGAGACAGTCCTAGCTGATTACCAAGGTTATAGCTCACACATCATGTAGCCCTTATTAATGCCTTCATAGAGATAAACCTTATTTTCTTCATATCGGTTTAGAAAGTTGGCTATTAGACATTTTACCTTTGCAGCAGCACAGCGAACAGCCATGGATCTATCTGTTAAGCAAGATTTAGCAGCTTTATAAACATCCCTATGGCAAGGTGCAGCAGCAGCTCCTACTCCATTCAATATATTTTGCAGACTCAGCATAATTTCATATCTACCTTGAGACTACCAAAAAGAAAAATGTAAAGAAAAAAATTCACTGTGAAAAACAGCATTAAGCACTGACACTGAATTCACACATTTAAAAAAAACTCAGGTTTTTGTACATAGTAACTAACCCATTTTGACATCAAGAAACATTAATACTTCTATTTGAAAAGTATTATTTGCACATCCTATATTTCAACACAATTTCACTGGGTTAATCTTATGGTTAAATGAAATTATATGAAAAGTGCCTAGGACCAAATCTTGCATATCATTAAGTAGTCAACAAATGACTGCCATGTAACACAGTAAGAACACAGGGTCAGTCTGTGTGTACCTATTAGCTATGTAACACTGGGCAAATCTGTTGCTTTACATGTAATGTGAAGGTGTCTACCTCATGGGCTGTTGCAATGACCAAATGAGTTCAAGTGCTTATAACAGTGCCAAACATACAAAAAAAATGCCCAATGGCTTTGACTGCCATTAATATTCTGGACATTATCAGGATAGTTTAACATAGAAGTTAAAAATTAAAAAGACTTAGACTGGGTATATCTGTAGCTTAGTGGTGGAACACTTGCCTAGCCTGCACCAGGCCCACCACCAGTTACCACCACCACCACAATAAATAAATAAATAGGTCGGTAGCTGTGTGACCTTAAGTTGTTCTTAGCATTTTTCTCATCTATAAAATGAGGGCAAAACAAACCTCAGAGAGCCAATGGGAGAAATAAAGATGCTCCTATGGATAAATGTCCATCACAGTGCACGGCACATAGTACAGTCAGGAAACAGTAGCTGCCTTTATTGACCCTTTACTAAATGGCCAAACGGTTTTTCTAGCTCTGGAAGTTGAGGCCACTGAAAGGAGGCGAGTTGGCACCAGCCATCATTTTTATAGTAATGCTATGAATTCATCTTTATTTAAAGGAACATAAAAGTCATAGGTGTATATAAATTATAAAGGTAAAAAATAAAAGAACAGCTAGGCATAACAGCATTCAGGAAGCTGAGGCAAGAGGAGGATTGAGCATTAGAGGCCAACCTGGGCTACATAGTAAGGCCGTCTCAAAAAAAGAAAAATAAAAAAAAAGTTTAAAAAGGGAGGAAAGTAATAAAATACTTACAAATAACATTAACATATGATACCTACAGAGTAATTCTCTGTTAGCCATGGAGCTTAAAAAGTAGTATTGCTTAACCAATGGAGATGAGAGGGAAATTAAAATGGCACTAGCCCAGGAAATATACTTCTTTTAGAAGTTTATTTTTTAATAAAACCAGACTTCCAGATGTTAAAAATCTCTTTCCTAGGGGCTGGTGGACTAACTCAAGCACTAAGAGCACCTGCCTAGTGAGCATGTAGCCCAGAGTTCAAACTCCAGTGCTGCCAAAAAACAAATAAAAAAGATCTCTTTTCTGAATTACCTTTCTGAATCTTTCAGAAAATTATTGCCAAGAAGTGATTTGCTCAGCAGATTCCCTTGCCAATCATATTACAGACTTTACTTTTTATATATATTTTTTAATGTTGTTTTAATCCTTTTTCTTAGACTACCTACTGAATCATTTTCTTCTTTCTTTTTTTCTACTGGGACTGGGGGTTTGAACTCAGGGCCTTCTGCTTGCTAGGCAGGTGTTCTACCACTTGAGCCATGCCTCCAGACCAACTTCTTAAAGTTCTTGAATTTGATAATACTTTTTGAAATTTAACATACCTTGTATTTGAATTTCCCTGTGCTTTGTCTTGCTACATTACAAAAACATGTAACTACCTTGAATTTCTATAAATTATTTCAGAGCAGTTTTCTAGACTGTTTTTCTAAGTAAGGTAAGAAGAGTAACTGGTGTGATGTGTTTATATTTAAAGGTTCTGAGTTATCTCTAAATATTAGGAATCATACCATTAAACTTTTAAAATATATAAACATATAAGAGCTTTAATTTCAGAACTGGCCAAACTACAGTTCTTAAGAGATTATAATATCTTGGGAGTTTAGTGAAGAAATGGTCTCAAAGCAATGGGTGTTCCAGGGTAGAAAATGATGCAAACACATCAATGAAGATATGGCTGAGGGCTGAGTGAACACACCTTGGGTAATCAAAAGGCCAACCAGATCCTGGTCACATATCTTCCATGCTCTCTCCCCTATGACTAGATTCCTGATACCCTTTTGATGCTATTATAATAACCAACCCATTCACTAGGTATTCAGTAGTTACAAAATAGGTAGCTTTTACCCATTTGAATTTATATAAATATACAAAATTCTATTGTATTATCACTGTTCTAAAAAATATTCAATGCACAGTATATATACTGTACATCATCTGGAAATATTTACAAACATATTTACATTGTTATCTCCAATTAATATGTAAAGCTCTCCTATTAGCTCAAGAAAGCATAAACCTATAAAATACTATTCTTTGGTTGAATCACTTACCTCTGCACTCTTCATAGCTTTAAGAATATTTCCCACTGTATCAGTAAAGGTGTTACCCAGTATTCTACCCAGCTTCTTATACAAGGAACCCAAACATACCACAGCAGCACTGAAACAACATTTAAATCAGAAATTAGTTAGGGCTGGAAAAAAAAAAAAAAAAACCAAAGGAATAAAAAAAATCTTAAGAACATGTAAGGGTAGCCAGTCCTGGTGGCTCATGCTTGTAATCCTAGCCATTCAGGAGGCTGAGATCTGGAGGTTTGAGGTTTGAGGCCAGCCTGGGTAAACTGTTCATGAGACCTCCATCTCCAAAATAACCACAGAAAACGGAATTGAAGTATGGCTCACACAGATGTATTTTTTCGTTTGTTTTTTTTGTGGTACTGGGGTTTGAACTCGGGGCCTAACGTGTGATAGGCTTGCTAGCCAGGCACTCTACCACTTGAGCCACTCCACCAGCCACACAAATTATTTAATTGTGGTTAAGTATCATTTATCTGTATTTTTCTTTTGGCAGTTGTGCTTTTAACTTTTTTTTTTTTTTTAATGGTATTGGGGTTTGAACTTATACTTGCTAGGAAGGTGTTCATGTTTTACCATTTGACCGACTCCCTCAGTTCCTCTCTATTTTCCAGACAGGGTCTCAAGTTTTTACCAGGCCCAGCTTTGGACAGCAAGCAATACTCCTACCTATGCCTCCTGCATAGCTTGGGTTACAGGCTCACACCACCATGCCCAGCTTATTAGTTGAGATGGGGTCTTGCTAACTTTTTTGCCCTGGCTGGCCTCCAACCCGGATCCTCCTCATTTCCACCTCCAGAGTAGCTGGGATTCCAGGCATATACCACCATGCCTGGCCCTTTTGGTGTTATTATATATCTAAGAAACTATTGCTTATTTCAAGATCAGAAAAATGTATTATTTTTTCCTAAAAGTTTTAGTTTTAGCTGCTACATTTAGCTCTATGACCCTTTATGAATTAATTTTTATATATGGTATGATGTCAGAGTCAAACTTCATTATGTGGATATCTAGTTGTCCTAGCATCATTTGTTGACAACAGTATCTGTTTTACTTTGAAAGGATAAAATTTCCCAGAATCTACTGTTAAATCCTAAGGTATGATATTTAGATGGATATGAAATAACTGTACTTTCAATAACAAGAATTCTAAATGAATATATCTCTGCCTAATTAATAAAAGTCACAGCCCAAAGATTCCACCCCATCAAATTTGTCACAAAATGAAATTCTGCAAAACATTTTAACAGAACTTCACATTTTAGATAATCAAATATGCACTTAAATATAAAAGACAAGCAGAATAAGAAATACTGCCCTCATAAAATTTGAAACTTGAAAACTTTAATAGGAGAATGCATTTTGTTATAAGCTAAAAATCACATCAACAAAAATTTCTGTAGAATAACTGTTGTAAAACCACATAGGGCTCACTGCCTTCTGTAAAATAACAGGTGACAAGGGAATTGAATCCTATGAAAAAGGAAACTAAGTATTTTTCTACTGATTATCAATTTTTACTACTAAGAACTAAGAAACTAAAAGAACATGCTACATCTGAAGAACTTAAAATATGTTCTTAAACATATAACTGCTAAAATTTTAGGAAGATGTTTTAAATTTCAAATCCAGACTTTAAATATGTCTAAATGATTATTTGTTATTTACTTATTTGGCAGTACTGGGTATTAAACCCAGGACCTAGTCAGGGCAAGGCAAGCACTCTATCACTGAGCTACACTCCCAGTCTCTAAATATTTTTAAAATGACTTTCTCAAAGGACAAATGCTAAATTTTTAAAAAAATTTAAAAATGAGTTAAAATTCAAACTTTGTATTTTCAAATACAAATTGAATTTGTATACAATTTCAAAATACTTGTCGAGTTGGATGGTACTTCATAAAAAAAAGAATCACACAATAAGAGAGCAATATTTTTCTGTTCTGTTCAGTTTTAAAGTTTAACTTACAGTTTGGTGGGAAGATAACTTGGAGAATCATCTTTGCTACGAATAAGATCATTACATTTATCGATTGTCTCATAAACAGAGAATGTATCTCCAATACTATAAAGTACAGCTAGGTTCTTAGCAAGAAGTTTACGAGTTGGAGGCCCTGGGGAGCTGTTCAACAAGGATAGGAGTTGTTCAACAAGAGTCTTCTGTTTCTCCCTTACATCACTCTAGAAAGACAGGTAACAAAAAGACAACTCAAAGTCAACACAATGATATGTAATTCTGTAGTATAACTTTTCTCTAGAAAAATACAAGATTTTGAATGAAAGTTACAAATAAGTTGGTATCATAGCCATTATGCCACATCAACAGGTAGGTTGTGACCTTGCTGATTGATACGTCTAAAACATAAATTCTAAACAGACTATATAGTCTCTCTTAACAAGATTGCTTCTAAATCTTACTCATTTCAAAGACAGAAACAAACCACTTTTGTATTACATATGATACTATAATTATGTAAAAAAAAGTCCTTATTTTCAGATGTGTACTGGATTATTTAGAAGTAGCACTCTACACTGCTCAGTAAATCAGTGAATCAAACATGGCAAAATGTTAGTAAACTGCTGAATGTGGGCCAGCAGTATGCATAACCAATTTTCCTTTTTTGTAACCATTTCATGAACTTTTTACCATGTAGTGTGTTTATTAAAAAGCTTTTCAATTCATATTCTCCTTATACTCTTTCTTTTCTTTTTTAAGTAAAACGACCTTTATTTAATTTTGCTCTGTACTGCACCAGGGCTTAAGTGTTATAGTTAAGTGTTATATGTATTTTTAAAGTAATATAAAAATACTGGCCAATTTCTACCTTTTTGAACAGAGCAAATGTCTTATATTAAAAATCCCAAGTTAGGAAGGGGCAAAAAATTTACCATATTTCATTATTAAGTCTTAACAGTCTACTTTGTAAAGCTCATTTATTAGGTCATTTGGACAGAACCAGAACAGAAACCAAAGGAACTGAACATTATCTGGCACTTAAAAAACAAACAAAATATCTTTTGTAATTTTACCTACCCGGCTGGTTGATAGCAAGAGCTTCTCCAAGTATCTCAACCACTCAAAAATAAACTCAGCCTTCTGAACTTCACCTAGTTGATTGTACGCTTCTTCATTTAGCAATAAGCTATGAGATAATTCCATTCCTTGCATCAAATTCTAGCTGATCACAATTCTTTTCATTAAACTTGAGGCAATATACCTAAGAAGAAAAATCTGCAATAGATGAAAATAACATATTTTTAAAGGAAAGTAAAAAAGGAAAACAATCAGAATACTAGAAATCTATAGAAAGTAAAGGTATAATTAAATATATATCTTTTATAACTGCTATAGAGTGAATCTGGGAAAACCCTAGTAAGTTCTAGTTAACATTGACACACAATCCACCTTTGTATTCAGCACTACTTTTTCAAAGAGCTGATACATTATTACCATCCACATGCAAAAACTTGCTAATTGAAAAGATATTCCACTAAAACTCTAGAGGCTTGAAAGTGAGACTACTCTGTTTTAGGTTTTTAGTTTTCTTTATAGCCTAAATGCCCTTCAACTAAAGTGGGTCATAGATACATATTAACAAACGACCAAATATCCATACCTTCTTCTAAAATTCTATAGTAAACCTTGCCACTTCCCTGGGTCTCTGCCCTGTCATTCACTTGGAGGTACAACTATAACAAAAGGACTTATGCTCATCAGCATCTGTTTCCCAGCCTAACAGACATGACTTTTAGTTTTACGTTAGGAGTTTTAGGAGTCCCACACAACTAGCAAATAGTCTTATCTCTGAGTCTTTTTTTTTTTTTTTTTTGTCTGATGACACTTGGAGAATTCTGTCTAGGAATTGTAGCAATATAGATCATATCTGTTCTGACCCAGAAGCAATGTGGCCTCAATTTTGCTGTAGCAAATAACAGAAGGCAAAGGAGGTTTTCTGTTTTTGTTGTTTTTCTGCTTGTTTTATTAACCAGCATCTCCCAGGTACATGCTAAAGCGTTTTCAGAACACACCTAACATGTAAATTCACACACAAATTTACGAAATGGCATTATACTCATGGAACTTATAAAGAGGTAAATGTTCAAATATGCTTCAGTAAAGCACTTTCAAATGGTTATCAAATGATCATAAACTATGGGCAAAATATTAACAGGTGTGTGTAAGTAGTGGGTGTAGGGGTGACCACTTTACTATTCTTTAATTTTTTTTTTTCAGTTTAAAAAGATCACAATAAAAAGTAAAAAAAAAAAAAAGAAAGAAAGAAAGAATAAAATACAAACTGTTTTGTTTTTTAAAGTGTGCTACTCACGTGTGGTAGCACAATTTGTATGTACTTCAGCTATTTGTAGGAGGAGTGCTTGAGCCTGGGAGTTTGGTGACCACTGAGCAACACACTGAGATCTCTCTCTTAAGAAAAAAATTTACAACTCTTTATAGTATAGCAGCTATTATCAGGAACATTAACATTAAACAGAGGAAGCAGCATATACATACACAACATGGTATATTCACCAATATATCAAAATAAGTTTAAAAGGCCAGCGGCAAGACTCAAGTGGTAGAGTACCGCCTAGCAAGTACAAAGCCCTGAGTTCAAGTCCCAGCACTACATAGATAGATAATGAGAGAGAGAGAGAAACTCCAAGCCAAACAGAAATAGGTAAATTCATAGAAATATACATAGACTGCTACAGGTAATTAAATACATACCATTTCCCCAAATCTCAGTATTTTAACAAGAAGCCAATAAGTAAAGATGTGTTAGAAAATCCAATGTAAGAAAGATGGAGGGGGTGAATCTAAGTATATTATGCTAACAATTTTTTTATAAAAAGACGGAAGGAAGATAGGTAGGCAGGCAGGAAGGCAGGCAGGCAGGAAGGAAATCCAATGTTAGACATGGAAGTTTTTCTTTCACCTTTTTTTTTCCTCCCAAAGAATTTTCTCGTATAAAATTACTTATACTATCAGAAATCATAATTACTATATAACTGAAAAGAGCTTCTTTAAAAGATAGGAATCACAAATGGGTTCTTTGTCTGCAAAATCTGGCCTGTAATACATTGAATTGGAAAAAAAAGATATGAATATTTAAACATGAGATTACACATAAAAATCCCCCACAGCCATAAGGCTAAATCTAAGGAGATATTTGTCGACTCCTATGAGTTTTTTAAACTCCTGTGGATTTTCTACCTAAGTTTTCAACTCCTGTCCTTTATCTCACTTGTGTTCTATGCTTTAGGCCAATATTCTAAATTCTAGGACACTATCCCTGAGGCTCACTTTCACCCAGCTACTGTCTTTCCAATCTGTGCTTTAGTCACATAGGTGGTTCCCTCCAATCAGCCCTGCAGGCCTATCCAATACCATCCATGATGCAGCACTGATTAGTTTAAAAAAAAAAAAAAAAACAAGCAAAACCCACATAATTTATTTTCATAAATGCCCCTTTTAAGGAACAAAGCACAATACAAAGAATGCTGCCAAGAACTCATTTTTCAGGGACAACGGGAAGTCTAGATTCTAGTTTTAAAAAGACTTCCTTTCCTTCCTTAAATTATAAAAATGAACTGGCAGAAATATTCACTACTAAGGATAAAGTTTAAAAATGCCAGAGAAAAAACTTCTTAGGAGAAACGTACTAAATATATAGTAGGCAATAATCAAGTTTGTACTCAATATCTATGACTGAGGAAAAAAAGCAACCTCAGTGTCAGAAAAAATTTCTTATAACCACCAGAGCAAATGAAAATCCTATCTTACAATCAAATTACCCTTTCTGGAGGTCATTAAGATTGCTGAAAAGACATTTTTTTTCCTTAGGCAGCAGCAATACTGTGGTGTAAAATGACCTATCAAGAAGCAAAACAGCTAATACAATGTGATAATAAATAATTCAGTAATATAACCAAGTGAGATGCCACTCCTGGGCATATACTTGAAGAAATGTAAGTCAGCACATAATAGAGACACTTGCATACCGATATGTTATGTGTATTGCAGCACTGTTCACAGTAGCCAAGCTATGGAAACAACCCAGATGCCCTATGACTGATAAATGGATTAAGAAGCTGTGGTGTTTATCTATCCAATGGAGTTTTATTCAGCCATAAGGAAAAACAAAACTATGTGGTTTGAAGGGAAATGTATGCAATTGGAGGACATCATGTTAAGTGAAGTAAGCCAGGTTCAGAAAGACAAAGGCTGTGGATGTGGAAGATAGATCCAAAAGATAAACATATACACAAAACCAAACATGATCATATACACAGTTATATGTAGAACGTGTTTGTAATAGTGCAACTACTCTATGGCACTCGGGGGAGAAGGGAAAGGAAAAGAGAATGCTGGAGTCAACAATATCGAAATGCGTAACATCTCTACAGGTAGAGAACGGAACAGTAAGTACTGAGAGCTGCTGAACAATGAGGGGTGGAAGGGAAGGGGTAAGGGAGAGTAACAGAGGGGTGCGAACTGACCAAAGTTAAGCATACTCACAGCTGAGATGCACTGAGAAACCCCTTTGAACATTGACTTAGGAATTAAAAAATGAAAAACAGGGCTGTAAAATAGGTACAGTGTGTGTGTGGGGGGGGTACTTATGGAAAGGGGGAGGGTGAATGAAGGAGATTAAGGTGAGAGAATATGGTTGGTGGACTTCATATACATACATGAAATACATGAAACCTCTTACAATTGCTTTAAGTGGGATGGGAGGGGATAAGGAGGAGATGGTGGGGGTGATCTAATCAATGTACAATTTAAGGCTATTGGGAATTGGCACAATGAATTCCCCTGTACAACAAATGTATGATAATAAAAATGAAAAAAAAAAGACAATCTGATATATCTGGCAAAATGCTAACAGCTAGTATTTGCTGATGACTTATTACTGTGGCCTAGGCACTATTTTAAGTTAACTTTTTTTTTTCTTTTGGGTGGAACTGGGAATTGAACTTAGAGCTTCACACTTGCAAAGCAAACACTCTACCACTTGAGCAACTCCTCCAGTCGGAGGCACTATTTTAAGTGCTCTATATTTATTTTCTTGAAAATCTGCAAAATTGTCCATGAGGTAGCTATTTTTATTAACCATCTCTTACAGATAAGAAAATCGGGGCTGAGAGAAGCTAAGTAGTTTCCCTAAGTTCACACAGAACCTGGTCATACATTTAAGCAATCTGACCACTGATATATGTGCTTTAACTACTATTTACTACACTGCCACTCTCTCATCCAATCAAGCCCCTTAAACATTCTACAAGCTGGCCACTTTTAAAAAGCTTAGAACTTGTAGCTAATCTGAGGATATTATGTAACATCAGATTTTAGCACCATTCCCAAAATGTGGACCAGGTTTCTCATTTTAATAAGTATGAGAATCTTGGATTATAACAAAGTTATGGATTTTTACCTATAAGACTTCTCAGGTTATTTAATAAGGTTAATGTGTATTTACAATACGCATACTTCAATATAGAATGAAGTATTAATCAAAATGATATCAGCACAGTATTAGCTTCCAGACCTAAGTAAGTTATGGTAAAGAAAAATATTAACATGTTCCTGATATGATCACTTATCCTACAGTAAGAATATTAATTACAATACTTTACAGTCAAACCTTGTATGAGCATACCCTGAAGGCAGTAATTGAACTGCATTATAAAGGCTCTTTGATGCTTCTCAGACTACATGTTTCTCTGGGGCACAACTTACTTCTTTAACAATACCTGCCTGCACTTTCTATATGAGAGCTATTTCTAGCAAGTCATAATTTTCATTCCTGAGGTCTTGCATGTTGAGAAAAGCAAGCACTGTGAACTAGACATAAGGGAAGTAAGGTTTAGTCCAAATCACATTTCTCAACCTGGGATGACTCCAGCAGTGCCAACGAAATAAACATGAGACATATTATTAGTGGTTCAAAGTTTACTTAAAGATATTCCCCAATATTAATTTAAAACATATTTAATACACAATAGAAGGCAAAACTAATAAAATGTGATTTTTAAGGTAGTCCTGAGCATGGCAATGCCTTTCTAGATTTCTTTTAAGAAAATCGCTCCTCTCTGCTACTAATACTAGTTTAGTGGAAAATTTGAAACCCGTTAAATTTAGCTAGGTGTGGTAGTACTTTTTGGGAGGCTAAGGCAGTAGAATCATGAGCCCAAGAATTTAGAACCAGACTGGGCAAAAATAAAAAAGAT